GAAGCTGTGAACTGTGGTCCAAACTTGGCATTCACCAGCAGGTAATGAAGCCTGGCTTGATGCGACCTGCCCCCAGTTCCAGCTCACATTGCTGGGTGCTGCAGCCTAGGCTAGACTAGATGGCCCCAGTGCCGGCTGTAATGTGAACTGACTGATGTCGAACAACCCAGCCTGTCCTGTACCTCACCATGGTTCTCACATCTGCCAGGGAGTGTTATGAGCTGGCCCAGCCTGGCCCACCCCCAGTCCTGACCCACATACATGCCAGTGGTACTATAACCTGGTGTGGGCTGCTCCCAACCTTAGTTCTTGTGCTCACCCGCAGGGACTGCATCCTGGCAGAGGAGTTCGCCAAGCTCCTCTGTCAGGTCACCTCTGTCACAGACCTCACGCATACTGGTAGGTTCTTGGCCCAACCTGACTGGCCCCACCTCCTGTCCCGGCGGGTACAGTGTCCTTAACTGACCAGCCCACACCCATTCTGATCCTTACTGTTGGGTGCTACAGCCCAGCCACCCCCAGTACACCCCCAGGCCCAGTTCTAACATGGTTCATCAGGTGTAGAGACCTTAGTCCAGCCCGTCCTATGTCCATTCTGGCTCTTGTGAGCACCAGTGGGTGCTGGAGCCTAGCCCAGTCTGGCACACCCTAGACACAGTCCACACTCATGCTAAGGGTTACTGCAGCCATGTCCAGCCCAGTTCACCACCACTCCCGTTCTGGCTCTCAATCACTGGAAACCACAGCCCACCAAGGACATTGCCTTAACTCCCCCACCAAGCTCACTCCCAGCCACAGATTTTGTGAGTAAAGTGGTTGCTCCAACTCAGCTTGGCATATCCCATCACCCACTTGGCCTTTGCCATCCGATGCTGCAGCCCAGTCTGGCCTTGCCTCCCCCATCCCAACTCTTGCTGGTGGGTGCTGCAGCCTAGCCCTGCCCAGCCTGCTCCCATCCCTGGCTTTCATGCAGGTTGGTAGATGTATAGCCTACCCTCACTCGCTGTGGCCCATACCCCATCCTGGCTCGTGCACATGCATGCCAGTGTGCTATATTTGGCCTGACCCTGCCTAGTCTGTCTCCCCTGTCCCCTAACCAGCCCATACACTTGCCAGCAAGTGAAGCAGTCCTGCCCAGTCTGACCAACACCCAGCCCTGGGTGCTCACTAGCAGGAGCAACAGCCCCATCAGGGGAATTCCCCAAGTTTCCCCACCAGGCCTACTCAGACACGAATCTCAAGTATGCCACTGGATGCTAGGCCCTCACTCAGCACAGTCTCCCCACCCCACCCCCAAGCTCAGCCTTTGTATTCATGGATGTTGCAGCCCAGCCCAGCCCCAGTACCCATGAGTGTTGTTGAGTTCCATTGGTCATGCATAGTTCAGCCTATCACCACCCGAGCTCTTGAGCAAATCAGCTGGTATGGCAATTCCATAGGGGTGAGCCCACGATCCCCCACAGAATCTGCTCCCAGACCCAGTTCTCTTGCATGCCAGTTAGTGTCATGGCCCAGCATGACATGGTCCATCCCCTGCCCCAACACTCACTGGTAAGTAATGTGTTCAAGCCCTGCCAGGAAGGCCCTCCAACTATGGCTTTTGTGTGTGCCAGTAGGCAGTGGTTGATACCAACCATCCCAGTTCAGAGGGTATTGGTTTGACTCTGAAAGGTCCTCTTGTGTCCTCCACTAAACCGCCTGCTTTACCTGCAAGTGCAATAGGCAGGTTGGAGGACGCGCTCCAGAAGTCACTCCTTACCTGTCGTGTCCTCCCTTAGCAGTCTCCCTCCCACACATCTCCAGCCCTGCTTTTCTGAGCAATCCACAGTGCCCCGTGCCCAGATCCCCTAGTCCTCTGGCAGAATGCTGTGCCAGCCTGGGGTCCTGCCTGCCAACCCCAGACCCCATCTGCCAACATGCCAGCATCTGTCCTCCCACATGTCTTTAAAAAGGGTGGGGGCAAGGATAGGCAACCATGCTGGCACCCTGGTATGTTAACAGAAGTTTGGCATGAATCAGGCCCAGGATGCCCACCAGCTGCACGCTGCCTTTCCCCGGCAGTGCAGCACTTCCCTGGGTCGTCACCCACAGCTAGGGCCACTGGTGTTTCTTTACTGTCCCTTCTGGTTTGCTCATGCCTCTTTGTTGCAGGCACTTGGTGGTCAGTTTCCCAGGGTGGGATGGAGGTCATCTGAGTTGTTGCCCTCTCTTACATTGTCCATTAGTTATCTGAGTGTTCCCCTTTTGTTGTCCCTGACCATGAATTAGTGCAGTCTCCTTGGGTATCAACACTGCTTATACTTATTTTCATATCGGGGAACTTGAACTAAGTTGGACTTTCTCCTTCCAGATGGCCTCAGGGGTATGGAGCATCAGGAAAGCATGTTTTCATCTCAGTCCCTTCCCTAGTTGTAGAGCCTGAAAAAGGCAGTAAGTTTATGGGGCCAGCATTGTGGCATAGGGATAAGCTGCCACCTATCACGCCTGCGTACCATTAAAGCAATAGTTCAAGTTCCAGCCAGCCCATTTCTGATGCAGCTGCTTGTTAACATAAGACAATCCTTTTGCCAGGAGCCCTCACCATGTTCACACCAGGCATAGAGGGTGATGATCCTATCCCTCTAAACTGATACTGGTCCAGGTGTCCCTGAGGTGGCAGTGAACTAGGGCCTCTGTGAGATCCCAGCCTTGTGTCCCCATCTGAGCCCTGCCTGCCTCCCCAGTGCCGTCTGCCATGAAGACAGAAGGCTGTCTCTCCTGGTGGACTTAGTGGAGGCTGAGGCCCATTAAGCAACCATCGTCATTTCCTACCAACAGCACCTTTCCAGCCTGGCACTTAAGGTCTTGTGCGTTCTCTGAAGCCGTTTGGTCCTGGAAGCGAACTGGGTTTTCATTTGGTCCTGAGTTTACCGTATTTTACTGGTTATATATACAGATCATTTCTTTCTTTTTTTTTTTTTTTAAGATTTATTTTATTTTCATTGCAAAATCAGATATACAGAGAGGAGGAGAGACAGAGATGGGGGAAGATCTTCCGTCCGATGAATCACTCCCCAAGTGAGCCGTAATGGCTGGTGCAGCGCCGACCCGGAGCCAGGAGCCAGGAACCTCCTCCAGGTCTCCCATGTGGGTACAGGGTCCCAAGGCCTTGGGCCATCCTAAGCTGCCCTCCCAGGCCTCAAGCAGGAAGCTGGATGGGAAGTGTAGCTGCCGGGACTAGAACTGGCACCCATATGGGATCCCAGCGTGTTCAAGGCGAGGACTTTAGCCACTAGGCCACTGTGCCGGACTCCTATACAGACCATTTCTTATTCTAAGAAGCCAGTGATGAGGTAGTTCCTGTTCTCCAGATTGGAAGCACCCTATAACAGCTGCAGCCGAGATGGGTGTGGGCACATCAGGGGATCCCTGACTGCTTCCCTCAGGCAGCCCTCCGCTTCTCCACTGGGCGGCTGTGGGCAGTAGCATTTCTAGTTCTTGCGAGTTAGATTTAAAGTCTTAGTCATTTCAGTAAATTACTATACTCAATTTCTTAGGAAAATAACCCAGACTTGACTGAATCATCAGATGAAAGATCTTCCTCTCTGTCTCTCCTCTCTGTATATCTGACTTTGCAATAAAAATAAATCTTAAATGAATAAATAAAATAACCCAGACTTGCCCTTATGTAAGGACAAGTCAGACGTTAGGACTCTGGTTCATTAATAAGCTGCTGCCGGCGGCATACTTGCACTGGTGTGAGTCCTGGCTGCTGCACCTGCTGTCCAGCTCTCTGCTCATGTGCCTGAGAAGGCAGCAGCGCATGGTCCAGACACGTTTGGCTCTGTACTCATGTGAGAAACTGGGCTCCCAGCCTGTGCTGAGCTGTCGAGCCATCGAGGGCAGCCTTAGTCTGGACTGACGTGGGCTTGGTCCACACACAGGTCAAAAGACACAACTACATTCCATGGCTCATGAAGAATAGGGGTCAGAAATCCACCGGGGGGAGTGAAGGGACAGGCAGGTGGCCAGCTTCGACTCAGGCACTGGAAGCCGTACCTCCCTGCCCTGTGTTACACAGTCTGCTCACCTGTCCAGCAAATGACCCGGGTGGTACTCCCCCTCACCTGGGTCTTGGGGGTGCTATCATGTACCCACTCCTCCTTCCAGGCTCAAGAGAAGCCAGCAAGGGGCAGGGGTGCCCCCCTCTCCCCGTGGGCACAAGATGAAAGCAAACATGTCTCCCACCTGTTTGCCCACTGTATCTCGGAATGTGTTTCTGGACGTTCCCCCCCTTCTTCTTTATTTTACTTTTTGCAAAGTTTATTGTAAAGACATGCCTGATCAGCCCACTCCCAGACTGGTGACCCCAGCCGGGCCCCTGGCCAGTTGCTCCCAGATTGGCATGGTGGTCCGCCACAGGTGTGACCTATCCAGGACAGTGGAGTCGGGCCCCTGGCTGCCACTCCCTTCCCGGCACATATTGATTCTAAGGCCTGTCAGTTGTCTGTGACTGCCCTAGACAGAGTGCTTGCGGACTCACTGAAGTGCAAGACAGTCTGCCTAAAGCCGTAGTCCAGTTTCTAAGATGAGTGCATGTGACACCCGTGATCCAGGAGCAGTCTCCAGAGGGGGTCAGGAGAAAAGGTGGGCGAAACACGTCGGCCTTCAAGTGCCGCAGCCCTCGTGGGGAGAGCCGAGGCTGTGCCTCACCGTTTTGTCTTTTGAAGAGGTTTGAGGTCTGTGACTGGTTTGCAGGGTTCACTCAGTGCAGCTGCAGCCATAGGTGCCCTTGCCCCTTGCCTGGTGCAGCTCCAGCCATGGGCCCCTGCCTTGGCCTCCATGAAGGACCCACCTACACACATTGACTCAGGCCCTAGGTCATCCTCCATGTGAAGGTTAGGGAAAGGGAATTTTAAGTAACAAAGTTTGTTACTAGGTAATCTTCCCCCTCCCCTTACTGCTTTTGTATGTCTGATAAAGCCATTGAGTCATTATCTTTTTTTTTTCCCCTGTTTTAGGTGTTTATTTACTTGCGAATGTTTGCAACTGACAGTGGATTTGAAATACTACCTTGTAATAGATACTCATCAGAACGAAATGGAGCCAAAATAGTTGCAACAAAAGAGTGGTAATTATTATACTAGTATAAATCCATAAAGTAACTTTATTTAAGTTAGTGTTGAAGTGCCAAGAAGTGGATGGTGAGATATAAAGTCCCGGTCTGGCCAATCAGGTAGTGACAGAAAAGGGCCAAGTGGAACAGCGCCTCCTCTGGACCGCAGGGCCTCCTCTGGACCACAGGCTCTCCTCTGGACCACGGGGTCCTCTGGATCACAGGCTCTCCTCTGGACCACGGGGTCCTCTGGACCGCAGGGCCTCCTCTGGACCACAGGCTCTCCTCTGGACCACGGGGTCCTCTGGACCACGGGGCCTCCTCTGGACCACGGGGTCCTCTGGACCACAAGGTCTTTGGCTCCTCACTGAGCCTGGACGGCCGCTCAGTGAGGAGGGATGGATAATCTTGCTGCCCTGGCCTAGAAGGTTCTCATGACCTCAGAGTTTGCATGGAGCAGCAGTATCCTGACTGTTACTTTCTTAAAAATGCATGTCCAGCTTAAATAAGCGTCGAGTTGAGCTCAGCTAGGAAGGGTGAAGTCCCAGTGGAGTCTGTGGCTCTGCTGTCCTGTAAGGCCTGTTCCAAACTTCATCTCCCCAGAGAAGCAGGTGGCCCCTTCTATCTCTACCTCCAATACTTTTTATAGCAAGACATTGGGTGTGAGGAGGAAAAGCATTTGCTCCGAGTGGTTAATGGACTTTGTTGCCTTGGAGCTGAGGTACCTGCTGACTGAGACCTGCAGCTCCCTGCCCTGCAGTTGGTGTGTAGGTTAGGAGGCTACGTTCTCAGGGCTGCGCCAACCAGGCCAATGGCCAGAGGCCACATTAGAAGTGCTGTGTAAAACACCAAATTTCATATTTTGTTTTGTCATGGTTGTTCTTATGTTGATTAGTATTTTGGGTATATTGGGTTTAAATATATTATTAAAAGTAATTTCACCTGATTTTCTCGTGTGGCTGCTGGAGAAAGCAAATTTGGCCTATGTGATATAACTGATGGCTGGTCTGCCCAGGTGGGCAGCATTGCCAGGCTTGGTCCTTGGGTCCCTTCTGGTGTCAGGATGTATGGCTCAGGACAGCCAGAATTGGGGCAGGTGCTGCAGAGCCAGGGATAAGGAGACACGGTGCCTGGATCCTGTGCTGGAGGAGTGTCCCTTGTGGTGTTGAGACAGATGCACAGGTACCCATGGGATCCGGCTGTGGGGCTCCAAGGCCGGAGTGGGGATCCCGGCAACGAAAACACCCGCTGTGCAGCATCTCGGCCTTAGGTGTTTATTGGGCAGGCTGGTTTTATTTTTAAAAAGCCTTATTATTTATAATTACTGGTAACTTTAACACATCACGTATTTTAAATAGGAAACGAAATGACAAAATAGAATTACTGGTGGGTTGTATTGCCGAACTTTCAGAAATTGAGGAGAACATGCTACTTAGACATGGAGAGAACGACTTCAGTGTCATGTATTCCACAAGGAAAAATTGTGCTCAACTCTGGCTCGGTCCTGCTGCGTTTATTAACCATGGTAAGCTGCATTTCTAGGGTGGTAGCGCACTGTCGGGGCAGCTCTTCCCTTTAAAGCAGTGTTGGAAATAGGAATTGTTTTTTCACAAACTCATTGTTTAACCTGAGACCTGAACTACCGTCTGAACTTGTAAAGTGAACTGGAAAGTTTATTTCAGATTTCTGTAATTGTTCGTGTTTCAGATCTTATCAACAGTTAATTGACTTTATCTTTTGGACATTTTTCAGATTGCCGACCTAACTGTAAGGTAAGCATACCAACAGATTATCTCAAGAATTTTGTTTCTGCCTCAGGTATGAGCTTCTTAAGAGTTCCTTTCATTTCAGTTTGTGTCAACTGGTCGGGACACAGCGTGTGTGAAGGCACTTCGAGACATTGAACCCGGAGAAGAAATTTCCTGTTATTATGGAGATGGGTTTTTTGGAGAAAACAATGAATTCTGCGAGTGTTACACTTGTGAAAGGTAAGATTTTTTAGCTTTTTCTAATGTTGTTTTAGCTACCTGTTGATTACAGACATCAACACATTTCTTTCCTGCTCTCAGCAGAATACCTACTAAAACATATATACACAAAGTGAGATGTGATGCAGCTGTTCAGGGAAGTCCTGGTGTGGTGAGTGGTCAGAACATGTCATCATGGCAGGATTGGGGTTGGCACTGGGCGAAGTCAGTTCTGAGGATGGTCACGTCCTGTGTCAGAGCGCCTGGCTCCAGTCCCGGCTGACCCAGCTCCTGGCCCGGCTTCCCACTAAGGTGCAAATCAGGGAGGGGCAGATGGTGGCTCCAGGGTTGGGATCTCTGGCACACACATGAAACCCAGATGCAATCCTGGGCTCTTGACTTGGGCCAGCCAGACCGTAGCCATTGCAGGCTTTTCTGGAATGAACCAACAGGTAGAAGATCTCTGTCTCTTTTAAAAAAAAAAAAATGAAAGTAAATGAAAAAGGGTGCTTGCCCACAGACATACACAGACATCATACCAAAATGAGCTTCCGCTCAAGCTGGCCAACCACGTTCTTCACGGATAGTCCTGGAAAACTGCACAGTCTTGGAAGTCACTGGGCTGTGCCTTCTCTTGCTTTGTTCGGATGTTTGTGTGTTCCTGCTGAGGAGTCCAGGTGCTCCCAGGAAGTCTCAGGCCCACCTTGGCTGCTGGGGCTCCTTAGGGGACTCTCCAGGAGAGCCTCTGTGGAGGAAGCTTTCTGAGCTCTTGCAGACAGGGACTGCAAGGAGACGCGTGGGCAAGCAGCACAGACAACAGAAGAAAGGCAGCCTTGTTTGGCGCACCTTGTTCCCTTCCGAGCTCATTCAGTCCTCATCACTGCCCAGTGTGCGCAAAAGTGTCTGGGCCCTCAGCCTAATGCCAGCGTCCTCAACTCGAGACTGCTTGAGTGGGTGTGGCTCCTCTGGAAGTACCTGACTGACAAGCAACCTTGGGGACAGGAGACCCAGGCAGTGTTTCCCTCCTTCCTGGGTAGCAGTGGGAGAAGGCAGAGGCATGGCGCCACCTCACTGCTTCTGGCCGTTGGCCTCTTGCTAGGGAAGGGTGGCAGAAGACTCACCTGGCTGAATGTTCGCTTTGAGTGTGAGGGCATGAAATTCGTGTTTATTTTTGAAAACACATTTAAATGTTGATTAGATCTTAGGCCAGTCTACAAACAGAACTTTTACTTTCTTTTTATAGATTTGTTTATTTATTTGGCAGGCAGTGTTACAGAGAGGGGGAGAGAGACAGAGGTCTCCCATCTGCTGGTTCACTCCCCAAATGACTTCAGTGGCTGCAACTGAGCCAATCCGAAGTCAGGAGCCAAGAGCTTCTCTCGGATCTCCCACGTGGGTGCAGAAGCCCAAGAGCTTGGGCTTTCCTTTACTGCTCTCCCAGGTACATTAGCAAGGAGTGGAATCAGAAATAGAGCACCTGGGACTCGAACAGACATCCATATGGGATGCTAATACTACAGACAGCAGCTTTCTCTGATATGCCACAGCACTGGCACCCCAGGAGGAGCTAATCCATGAAGTAGCTTTAGTTATAGTTCAGTAATTCTGCAAAACCATTTTGTTTTTTAAGATTTATTTATTTTTATTGCAAAGTCAGAAATACAGAGAGGAGGCGAGACAGAAAGGAAGATCTTCCGTCCGATGATTCACTCCCCAAGTGACTGCAACAGCTGGTGCTGCGCCAATCCGGAAACAGGAGCCAGGAACTTCCTCCAGGTCTCCCATGTGGGTGCAGAGTCCCAAGGCTTTGGGCCGTCCTCCACTGCGTTCCCAGGCCACAAGCAGGGAGCTGGATGGGAAGTGGAGCTGCTGGGATTAGAAACAGCACGTTCAAGGCGAGGATTTTAGCCCCTAGGCCACACTGCCAGGCCCTCAAAAGTATTTCATAGAGAAAATTTAATGTAACAGCTTAAGTGCCTGTTACCTGGAGTCAGACTGCCTGAGTTGGAATGCCAAGACTCTCATCTCATCAGCTCTGTGATGATGAGCAGATTTCTTACCTGTTTTCTGTGAAGTGGGGATAATATTAGAAACTACTTGATGAGATTGATACGTAAGGCATGTGGAGCTGCACACATGGCACACACATGCTTGCTGTGTAACTGCTGTGAGTTCTGGTCGCTCTCCCTTTAGAACATTTACTGCCGTAAAACAACACACATAACACCTGGCATGGTCCCTGCATGCTGCGGATTCTGCAGAGGAGCGAATAAACGGAATGACTTGGGTTGTGTACGTACTCACTCAGGCCCCTGCATCGGCTTGAGTGCCTGTGTCCTCGCGCTCTTGGGGCAGCGTCCTTCCCTGCGCAGCCTGTTTGTCGCTGTTAGATGGGCCAGAGTGCCAACATGAGCGAGCTGGACGGGCTGCAGCAACATGGCTGTGCTAGACCGAGTGGTCTGATTTAAAGGTTCGCTGTGTAGACATGTTTAACAATTGTTTATGTTAAGGGAGAGACAGAAATCCTCCATGTGCTGCTTCTCTCTGCAAGTGATCACAGTGGCCAGGGCTGGGCCAGGCCAAAGCCAGGAGCCAGGGGCTGCCTCTGGGTCTCCCAGATGGGTGCAGGGCCCAAGGCCTTATATGACCCTCCGCTGGTTTTCCATATACTAAAGTTGGAAACTGGGTTGGAAATGAGGCAGCTGGTTCTCAGCCTGGCACCCTGTTGGGTGCTGGAGTTTTCCGTTCTGTGCCACCACTGTGGCCCTGTGTGTGTTCTTCGTTCCTGCCTATAGCACAGTTGATGGTGACCCAGCGTGAGAGCAGGCAGAGCAGCACGTGCAGCAGTTTGTCGGGAGTGAAGTGAGCAGTTCCCTGTCTCAGGCCCAGTGTGCATATAGGAGAAGGAAGACCAGCACCACACCATCTCTGGTGGTCGCGCCGGGAGTGCTGGGGCCTGCCTCAGAGCCGGGGGCTCCTGGGCCGCCACTGCCCCGTGCGAGTGCCGGGGCCTGCCTCAGAGCCGGGGGCTCCTGGGCCGCCACTGCCCCGTGCGAGTGCCGGGGCCTGCCTCAGAGCCGAGGGGCTCCTGGGCCACCACTGCCCCGTGCGAATGCCGGGGCCTGCCTCAGAGCCGAGGGGCTCCTGGGCCGCCACTGCCCCGTGCGAGTGCCGGGGCCTGCCTCAGAGCCGAGGGGCTCCTGGGCCGCCACTGCCCCGTGCGAGTGCCGGGGCCTGCCTCAGAGCTGAGGGGCTCCTGGGCCGCCACTGCCCTGTGCAGTTCCTGGGTGGCAGTAATTAGGATGTGCTCACATTTCCCTTGACAAAGCTGGGAGGATCAAATGTGATGACGGACCAAAAAAATAAAAAGGAACTGTGGTCTTGGTTGTAAATTGCTAAAATCATTAAAATATTAATTCTTCCTCTGATTATTTTACAGACTGTTCATGGCTTCTGTTTTTTGAGCTGGTTGAAGTGTTGTTACACTGTGGGTCAGGCTAGTGCCTGTAAGGCCCGCATCAGAGCACTGGTGTGGGTGCTGGCTGAGCTGCTGAGCGCACGCTGCAGGGGCCATGGTCCAGTGAGGCGTCGGGCGGGGCGGCAGGACCCAGCTGCGTGCACTGTGGCCGCTGCCTCTAGAGTAGTCAGCAGCTGGGAGCTGGGCCAGGAGCCAGGTGGTACTCAACCCTCAAGCAGTAGGCCAGAACCCCACCCCAAGGGTGCGTGTAGTACATGTTTGCCATTTAACATCACTGCTAATTCGCACGCATTTCAGAGACATTAGAAGAACCATTTCCATTGTTACAGAAATAAAATTCAACCTTTTTTTTTTTTTATTTATTCTTAAAAGATTGATTTGTTTAAAACGCAGTTAGAGAGGCAGAAAGAGAGATTGTCTATCTGCTTGTGTCCGCGCTCCAGATGGCCACAACATCCAGAGCGGGCCCAGGCCAGAGCCAGGAGCCAGGAGCCAGGAGCCAGGAGCCAGGAGCTCCTTCCCATTCTCTCCCAAGTGGCCATGTTCTGCTTTGCTGGGCACATGAACAGGGAGCTGGGTCAGGAGTGGAATGACCTGGATTCCAGACCGAATGCACTACAGACAACAGCTTTACTCACTATGCCACAGTGCAGCCTCTGTCCTCACCTTTTTAAACAGAATCTCAATTCGATTTTTTATTCATTTTTTAGGTTTTCTTTATTTGAAAGGCAGAGTGACAGACAAAAAGGGATTCTTACCCTGCTGGTTCTCTCCCCAAATGACTGCAGGAGCTGGGTGTGGGCCAAGCTGAAGCCAGGAGGCAGAGATTCCTGTCCATCCTTCCACGTGGGCTGCAGGAGCTCAGACGGCTGAGCTGCTCTCGGTTCCCCAAGCGTGCCGGCAGGGAGCTTTGTTGCGAGCAGAGCAGCCTGTGCTGCACCAGCGTTCTCAGAGGGGAATGTGGGCCTCCCACACGGTGGCTCATCCCTGTGCTTGCTCTAACGTTCATTTACGGAAAGTGCATTTCTTAGTTAGTCCCTAGTTTCCAGTATCAGTGACAATAAATTGTGCAGAGCACAGGGCCTGGTGTGGTAGCCTAGCAGATAAAGTCCTCACCTTGCACGCTCCAGGATCCCATATGGGTGCCAGATCTAATCTTGGAAGCCCCACTTCCCATCCAGCTCTCTGCTTGTGGCCTGGGAAAGCAATGGAGGACAACATAAAGCTTGGGACCCTACACCCACATGGGAGACCCAGAGAAGAGGCTCCTGGCTCCTGGCTTCAGATCGGCGCAGTTCCATCTGTTGCAGCAGCTTGGGGAGTGAGTCAGCAGATGGAAACTCTTCCTCTCTGTCTCTCCTTCTCTCTTTATATCTGACTTTCCAATAAAAATAAAATAAGTCTTAAACTGGAATGTAACACACAGTTGTTATTTTTTTATTTTTGTGGTGGTGGTGTGTTTTTGTTTTTGAGAAACAGGGAGTCTCATGCTGGTTTGTTTGGCTGGGCTGAACTGAAGCTGTGGCCTCAGTCAGGGTTGCCACGTGGCGGCAGGGGCTTGCCTGAGCACTCAGGAACTGCACTGTTGAGAACAGGCACCTTAACCACCAGGCCAGATCCCCACCCAGTACTGACAGCAGAAGCAGTTTGGGAGGGATCATGCGTCTACTGCTTTACTCGCCTAAATGGTCACTGTGGCCAGCTCAAAGCCAGGACCCTAGAGCTGCTTCCAGGTCCCCCGTGTAGGTGGCAGAGGCCCAAGACCAGAGCCACCATCTTTCCCAATGGAGCAACCAAGACAGGAACCAGTGCCCACATGGGATGCTGCCTTTGCAGGATGGTAGTTTTACCTACCACTGCACAATGCCAGCCCCAATAGATATAACTACATTTTAAACTTGTTTTGACAAGTACTTTTTTTAATGAAGAATTTTTTTTTAATCTACCTGTGAAATTGTACAGGCTCCAGTCAAATTTCTCGTAGTCCTAGGTCATTGAGAGCTGATGGGCAGTGGTGCTAAGAAGCTGTTGTATTAAGGGCTGTGTTTTCAAGTTGATTCTGTGGGCGTGAAGTGGACACGCCTGCCCGGAGCAGGGTGCTGTCAGTACGCATTCCCTGCCGGTCTAACCTGTCCCATTTTCTCTTTCAGACGGGGAACTGGTGCTTTTAAATCCAGAGTGGGACTGCCTGCGCCTGCTCCTGTTATCAATAGCAAATACGGACTCAGAGAAACAGATAAGCGTTTAAATAGGCTTAAAAAGTTAGGGGACAGCAGCAAAAACTCAGACAGCCAATCTGTGGGCTCTAACACTGATGCAGACACCACTCAGGAAAAAAACAATGCAAGTAAGTAAGGGAGGTTGGATCAGCATTTCTGGTTTTTAAATATTTTTAAATATTTTTTAAAAATATTTTCACACAGATTGCTTCCAAAAGCATGTCAATGGTTTTGAACTTTTAAGTATTGAGAGAAATTGGGACTCATGAATACCACTTTGCACAGCAAAGTTCTAGAAGTAACTGTGTCCCACCTCCAAGTTCAGTGTAAAATTCTGTAGACTGTTTGACTGGATATTTGGCATCTTCACACAGAATTCTCCATCATATATTCCCAGGTCATAAATTTGAGGGAAAATTTTTAGAGTGTAAGTGGCCCCGTAATACTGTCATTAAGCCCTGCCAGAGGACCAAGGACTGGGGAGCATCCTGGCACCTCGCGTGTGCCCACTGTGCAGACACTGCCAAGAAAACGTGACGGATTTGGGAGTAACTACTTTCTAACCTCTTTGGAAATGAACTGACCCCGTTTACCGAATTACCAGTTAGCCAACTTGGCAATGTGACTGGGTCATGGCGGTAGTCACTGTGTTAGAAATGGTGGAGGAGGAAGCAGGCTTTGAGCTCCTGTCGGGCTGTGGGCGAGAGGAAGTAGCAGCTCCAGAAATGGTGAACAAAGAAAAGAAAACCCAGACAGGGCCAAGTGCCATGCTCATGCAGTTCTGAAATGCTGCACGTGCTAGGTGCCCCAGGTCTTCAAGAGAGCGACCCTCATTGCTGCACTTGTGCCCACGACATTGGGCTGTTCCGTCTGACCGGGCTCTGACAGAGCTGGAGGGTTCAGCTCGGGGATGCCCTCGGTCTGCCCATGGCACAACACAGTAGTCTGCTCAGACTCGGAGCACTGTCTAGTGCTGACCACTGCCTTCAGGGGTGCTTTACCCACCACAGGTGTCCGTTCCCCCCAGGAAATCCTGTGTCCCTGCAGGGATGAGTGACACTACCAAGAGTTCCTGAATCGGCCTGCTCATCTTAGCTGAAGTGCAAAGTCAACCAGGAGGAGTCCATCATTCCCTGCTGACCATGGGCTCTTCTCATAGCTGCAGAGCCCTGATCACCTGTTTCCTGAGTCTGGCCCTTGGGGAAGCTGGACACATGGGAAGTCCTTTTCGTAGCTGCCTCCAGGAAGCAATCCCTATGCTGCCTTCCCTACATGGGCACAATGCCAGAGCTGCCGCATGGAGGGATGCATGGTGGGAGAGCCGGGTTTCATATTTTCGTGGTGTTGATTTTATTACTAATGTGTGGGTACTGAACTTGATACACCACTTTTGAAAAAAGTTGCATGTACTAATGTAACCTTCTGGGGAGTATTATTGGTAGACCAAACACTTGTCAACACCCTGTTCTTATAGATACACAAGGAAATGCCAGCCTCGGGTCTTTCGACTGGGAGCCTGTGGCTGAGCTGCAGTGTGGTACCTGACATGCCACTTTGTCCCTGTTAGAGGGGCTAGGGACCTGTGTGCAGGGGGACTCAGCATTCCAGCATAGAAAGCACTTCCCAGCATGCCCTGCTGTTGCGGGGAGCTTGTTTGATTCTAATTGTCCTTATGCGGCGTGATGAGGGGGAACCAAGAGTTGGTATGACCACATCGTGGACAGAGGGGACAGGCGAGACAGCACTCCAAACAGACCCAGGGCCACTGTACACCAAACTACGTTCCCAAGAATTTTCTCTAGTCCTTAGGTATTCTTTTAGACTGTTCTGCTATAATACCTCCTACCCTTTTTTTTTTTTAAGATTTTATTTTAATTTTATTGGAAATGCAGATTTAAAAAGAGAAGGAGAAACGGAAAGATCTTCCGTCCACTGGTTCACTCCCCAAGTGGCTGCAGCAGCCAGAACTGAGCCAGTCTGAAGCCAGAAGCTTCTTCCAGGTCTCATACACAGATTCAGGGTCCTAAGGCCTTGGGCCATCCTCTACTGCTTTCCCAGGCCACAAGCAGGGAGCTAGGAAGGAAATGGAGCAGCCGGAACACGAACCAGTGCCCAGATGGGATCCCAGCACATGCAAGGCAAAGATTTAGCCACTAGGCTATCACACAGGGCCTGTCGTCCTACCTACTTGAAAGGAAGTGTTTTAATAGGCTCTTCCCGAGGCCGGTGGACATCCCATGTGCAACACAGGGGCTTCTGCCTCAGTGGCTGCTCGTCTTTGTCCCGCAGCCTCCCCCTTGTGACTTGTTGACTAGGCTGCTCCTGCAGTTAAAGTTGTAAACCCAAGGCTCTCCAGAGCCACGTGTGTGGATGGGAGCATCATCTCACTCTCCAAACAATTGTCCACAGTGGCTTTACCTGAACCAGTGCACAACCAGGAGCTTCTTCCGGGTCTCCCACGTGGGTGCAGAGTCCCAAGGCTTTGGCAGTCCTCGACTGCTTTCCCATGCCACAAGCAGGGAGCTGGTTGGGAAGTGGAGCAGCCAGGATGCCCTGGAAGGAGCTGATCTTAGTGGAGGTGCCCCTGTGCTAAGTGTGGGTCCTGCACCTTGCTACTGAGCGCTTAGGCTGCCCCCATGTCCTTCCCACACACTGTCGCTGTAGCCCCTGCCAGTCTGTCAGCCTCATCAGTAAGCCTGAGACACTCCTGGCCTGAGGTGGTTAGTCTGACCAGGGCACCCTGCGATCTGGTGCAGGGCTGTATGTGGCCCCGTGATTCTTGGTTCATGCAGAGGTGGGGTGAGCATTTCCAGAGCAGCCCAAGTGCCAAGGACGGCTTCCGAGCCGCCCTGTGGCCTGCCACCCTGTCCTCGTGGGGGCTCCTGGCAGTACCCATTTGCTCTATGGTTTACCTTATACACTGCACACAGGGTGATTAAAAATGGGAGTCTTGGGCCCAGCGCGGTACCTAGCGGATGAAGTCCTTGCCTTGCATGAGCCGGGATCCCATTTGGGCACCGGTTCAAATCCCGGCAACCCCGCTTCCCATCCAGTTCTCTGCTTGTGGCCTGGGAAAGCAGTCGAGGATGTCCCAAGGCCTTGGGACCCTGCACCCACATGGGAGACCAGGAGGAGGATCCAGGCTCTTGGTTTCAGCTCAGCTCAGCTCTGGCCACTGCGGGCACTTGGGGAATGAATCATCAGATAGAAGATCTTCCTCTCTCTCTCTCCAATTAAAATTAAAAAAAAGTTTTTTAAGTGGGAGTCTTGAGCCACAGGCCTAAGTTCAAATCCAGTCTTCCAGCTCAGCAGGTGGAATGCTGGTTCAGGCAAGCTGCACTGGCACATTGCTGTAACAGCATTCCGCTTGGGTGCTCGCGGGATGGAGAGAGAGAGATGCCCTGGCCCTTGGCACGGCCTCGGCGTATGGCGTCTGCTGCAGTTGCTAAGAGGGGGTGCGCTGCTCTTGGACTGACTGTCCTAAGTTGGCCCCAAGGGCATGGAGCCCCACAGTGTGGGCATGCTCAGACAGGAGCCAAGGCCTGACTGTCTTGTGGTCTTGTGTGTCTGCCCTTGTGGTCACTGCCTCCTTCAGGCTTGCCCTCCCGGGAGAGCACCTGGACTCGCTCTCATCGGCATGTCTCCTGCCTAGGCTTCCTGAGCTTCTGTTTTGACATTGGGCCCCCAGCATGCCTTTGACTGGCCTAGGGTGAGACAGTAGAAGCATACTGAATGCACCTTGTAAGTCAGATCTCCATTGAAACAAGATGCAGTGACACACGTGGCCCGTTCGTGCTTCTTCGGGAATGCAGACTCACAGAGGCAGCCTGTCCTGTCCGTCGGTCACTGCCGTCAGCACCAAACCTTTGGGCAGAGCTGGGGTAGGCAGGGCATAGGTTGGGATCCAGTCACATGAGACTCACCACTCAAGTACCCTAAGTGCTGATAAGGAGATGGCCGCCACGAAGCTACATAGAGAGGACACCCCATCCTGTCAGTCACGCAGGGAGGCCTCCCGGAGGGGTGGGTGTTGTGCGAAGCCAGGAGGCTCGAGGCGCTGACTGACATTCGCAGGACTTTGAACAGGGATGTGACTGCAGGGCAAAGTGAGAAGGGAGGTTGGAACCCTAATCAGCTCGGGGTTTATCCTTAGATCGTGAGGCCGACACGTGTACCAGGCAGGTTACTGGCTGATGGAAGAATTGTAAGAATAGTCCCTGAGGGAGCTGTGCCATTCAGGGTGGGGCTCCAGCAGCAGGGCCCGGTGGAGCTGTGGGTACGCCTGTCTCCTGCCCCAGTGTGTGGAGGTTGGTGTTCTGCGTGGAACACTAGGAGGAGGAGCTGTCTGACCCTAGGTAGTGGGTGAGCGCTTTAGGGGAAAACCAAGCCAGGGCATTGCTCAGGGTGAACTATCAGCTTGTCATGGGACAGCTGTAGGACAGGGGGTGGGGCATGCTATTACCCAGGAAGTGTGTATACATCTCAGGAGGCGAGTGCTGACCATGAGGTGAAGGAGAGCTGCCTCGGGCAGCAGAGTGGGGCAAAGACTGTCACGTGGAAGGGGTTGGTGGACCCTAGATGCACCGACACTGAACGTAGTCCTGGCCCTCTGGTGACTGAGCAGAGCACCGCTGGGTGTAATCCACCCCAATCCTTGGAGCCTCTGAAGGCATTTGTAAGCGCAAAACTCCTCGCTCACGGGGGGCCTTTGCAATCCAGTTCCCAAGAAAACAACACTCTGGCCCAGATAGCATCCAGATTCACTCCTGTGCTTCCTGAACCAAGCTGCTGTCTTGAGGACAGCACCACGTGGAAGTAGGTCTTGTGCAGATGCTGCTGGTGTGGGTGAAGCCAGATGTGAGCCAGTCTACAAACAGCCATCGGTTCCTGGGAGCTTCGCGTGTGTGTCAGGGATAATGAAGGGTAACTCACCTGCCCAGTGCACAGAAGCAGTGGCGGTAGCCCCGACAACCCTTGGGCATGCCACAGCAGCAAACTGTTTGTGGGGTCCCAGTCTGCACTTGGGTGAGCAGATAGTCGTGAGCTGGGCCTCTTGGGTTTGGTTATCACAATCCCCTGGTGAATTGTTGTTAAGAGGTGCTTTGAGGAAGGAGGAGCTTGAAGGGTGAGGGGACTAAGTCAACTGTGGAATCGTCTTGTGTAGGACTCCATCAAGAACATCCCAGAACAGAATCCAACGAGCAATCCAGTCAGAGGCTACCTGCAGCCTGAGTGAAACAGCCCTGAGAAGCCTTGGCCTGCCTGTCACTGCCACTGGCTGTCCCTGAGCTGGGAGTGTGTGACTGCCCAGAGTGGCGGTTGCTGTCAGGCAATCAGTGCGGTGACAGGGCACCTGACCACAGCTCACATGAGTGGACAGGCCCCTCTTTGCCCCACCCCCCCAGCTCGCTGGTTCTCAGAACTAAAGGAACGGCAGTGCTGCTCATCTGTCGGGGGTGACCCTGCAGACTTCAGAAAATGCAGGCAGAATGCACAATACGAGAAACCATGAATTTTTTTTAATTTCGCACCAAAATAATTTATTTTATTAAAAAGACAGATTTACAGAGAAAAGAGAAACAGAAAGGTCTTCCATCTGCTGCCTTACTCCCCAAATGGCCACAATGACCAGAGGTGAGCTGATGCAAAGCCAGGAGCCAGGAGCCTCCTCTGGGTCTCCCACACAGGTACAGAATCCCAAGGCTTTGGGCCGTCCTCTGCTGCTTTCCCAAGCCAAAAACAAGGGCACAAACTGTTACCCGTATGGGATGCTGGCACTTGGAAGTGGAGTAGTAATGGAGCCAACACACTGTGGCCCCCCCCCAAGAAAGTTTTTTAAGCATTTATTTAGGGGACAACACTGCGGAGTAGCAGATAAAGCTACTGCCTGTCATGCTAGCATTCCACATGGGCACCGGTTCAAATGCTAGCAGCTTCATTTCTTACCCAGCGCCCTGCCTGGGAAGGCAGCAGACAGTGGCCCAAGTGCTTAAGGCCTTGTACCCTTCCTTGGCTCCTAGCTTTGGACTTGCCCGGTTTTGGCAGACATCTGGGGAATGAACCAACAAATGGAAGATCTCTTTAATTCTTTCAAACAATTAATAATATTAAAAAAGATCTGTTTGATACTCAAAGTGATGAGAAAGATTTTCCTCCTACACCATAGCATTGGCCTCTGTTTTTCTAATGCCATTTTCCATGAACTTTTTTTTAAGGGTTTATTTTTTTATTGGGAAGGCAGATTTAAAGAGAGGAGATACAGAAAAAGATCCCCTGGCTCACCCCCAAGGAGCCTCACGTGGCCAGAGCTGAGCCAATCCCACGTGGGTGCAGGGTCCCAAGGCTTTGGGCCATCTTCCACTGCCCTCCCAGGCGGCTAGCAGGGAGCTGGACGGGAGGTGGGGCAGTTGGGACAGGCTGCCATGCCAGGCCCCTTCTGTGAACTTTTGAAAGTAGTTTTATTGGTTAGGTACTGCTTAAGACTGTTTGGGGTTTTTTTTTGTTGTTGTTTTGTTTTGCTTTGTTTTTTTAAGTAAGATTTTATTTAGAAAAGCAACATGTCTGTTTGCTGGTTCACTCCACAGATATCTGCACTGACAGAACTGGGCCAGTGAGACCCAGGAGCCAGAGCTGCACTTAGGTCTCCCCTGAGAAGTCCCGGGGTCGTCCCGTGCTCTGCCAGACACTGGCGTAGGAATGCCGGCGTGAATTCCCCCGGCTCCTCGGCGCTAACGCTGGCGCTGCGCATGCTCTCCTTCAGCATTGCTCCACGGCTCTGGCCGGAAGCGCTGCCTTGGAACCATTGTGGTCAATTTTCCCTCATACAGCCCATTGATAATGTATTTTTGTTGTGTGCTACTAGCCAAATAATGTGCTTACTCAGTATTGACAAGTCATGAATTTTACAAACATAATTAAGAGAATTTTTAAGAGAAGTTGGTAAAGAAAAAAAAAGATGGTTTTGACTTAACTTGGCTCAGTGTGGGAACACAGTGGACCAGGAGGAGTGCTTGGTTAGACTGGCCCCCTGGGCTGGAGAGGACGCCTCAGACGGCGCAGGCCCAGGCTGCACTCGGTCACAGCCCGCGAGGCAGGGTGCCCCGTGTGGCCGAGCCCAGGGCGCAGCCCTCAGGCCCCTGGGCATCACTTGTTTTCTGGATTTGGGTATGGATTGGTTGAGCCTGTTTTGTGTTAGCAAGGCTATTTTTCATTCATTCTTCCTTTTTTAAACCTTGTAGCTTCTACACGAAAATCTTCAGTCGGTGTAAAAACGAGCAGCAAGAGCAGAGCGTTGACCAGGCAGTCGGCGTCGAGAATTCCAGCTCCTCCCAGTACTACCTCATCGAAGCTGACCCCCGGCAGTGATTCCAGGGCACCAAAGAGACTGAAGAAACCCGCCAGGCCTTTACTGTCAAAGATCAAACTAAGAAATCCCTGCAAGCGGCTGGAGCAGAAGAACACTTCGAGAAAGCTTGAGGTGGGCGACCTAGTACTTAAAGAGCCCAAAGTCGTTCTGTATAAAAATTTGCCCATTAAAAAAGAAAAGGAGCCAGAGGGACCAGCAGAGGTGACAGGTGCCAGCGGGTGCTTGACCAGGCACGCGGCACGGGAGCACAGACCAAGTCCTGGGAGAGGTGCTGGCACGCAGGGGGAAGGCTCGCCCTGCGCCTACACGACCAGGCGGTCGGTGCGGACGAGGACCAGTCTGAAGGAGGCCTCGGACAGCAAGTCGGAACCAAGCCCACTGGACAGCTGTGCCAGTAGTGAGGCCAAGCCTCAGGCAGACTGTGCCGAGCAGCCGGCAGAGCCACCCGGGGTGCCACAAGAAGAACCAGCTCCTGACATGGCACCAGAGGGCGAAGCCAGGTGTCACGGGAACCCTGACAGCCCATCCAAAAGAAAGTCGCGGCAGGGGAAGCTAGTGAGACCGTCGGGAAGTGCTGAGGAGTCCCCTCCCGTGCACAGTCCCCCTGACAGCGACAGTGTGCCCCTGGCTCCAGCGGAGCCACGGCCCGAGCAGGGCGAGTTCAACGGCCCCGCTGGCGTGCCTGCGAGTCACACGGCCTGCGCCTCCCCACCAGCCAGCTGCCCGGTTGTCACAGCAGACAGCTTCAAAGTCAAAGACAGCTTCAGAACTGCCAAGAGCAAGAAGAGGAGGCGGGCCACGCGGTACGACGCACAGCTGGTGCTGGAGGACAGCTCCGGCATCCCCAAGCTGACTCTGCGCCGGCGCCACGACAGCAGCAGCAAGGTGGCCGAGCAGGAGGGCGACGCAGTGAGCGCCTCTAAGCTCAGCATCAAGCTGAGCAAGGACCACGACAAGGACAGCAACCTCTACGTGGCCAAGCTCAACAACGGCTTCAGCTCGGGGTCCGGCAGCAGTTCGACAAAGCTCAAGATCCAGCTGAAGCGGGACGAAGACGGCAAGGGGCCCTACGCGGAGGGGCTGCATGAGAACGGGCTGTGCTGCAGCGACCCCCTGTCCCTGCTGGACCCCCGCGTGGAGGTGGACGACTACAGCCAGTGCGAGGACGAGAGCACTGAGGACGACTCCTCCTCCTGCGCCGAGGAAGAGGACGAGGAGGAGGAGGAGTTTGAAGACGACTTCATCCCTCTGCCGCCAGCCAAGCGCTTGAGGCTCATAGTCGGGAAAGACTCGATAGATATTGACATTTCCTCGAGGAGAAGGGAGGATCAGTCTTTAAGGCTAAACGCGTGAGCTGCTGGTCTGAGCGTGACCAGGGTGACGACCCTGAAGAGGTAGACATCCCAGCCGCGGGCTCCGTCACCCTGGAGGATGTGCAGCGGGCCGGCCCTGGCCAGCTCGGAGCTGCGCACATTTTCCGTACTTTTTCAAAAGCCTTCTATGTGCAATTCTGAATGGGTGGGAAAGCCCCAGTGTAAAATAAAGGCTCAAGCAAAATTGTACAGTGACAGCAACTTTCCGCACAGGACATTGGAAACAATAATGTGGCTACACAATTTTTTTTCTTTTAAGAGCGTCCGCTGACTGTGCTATATGACTAAACAGTAACTTAAATCATAGTAGGCTTTCTAGCGTATGCTCGATCACCAGCAGTGACCGGGGCTTCTGGGTTTCCTGGTTGGAGTCTGGTCAGTTTCACACTGTTTGGGGGGGCCCCTTTGTTAGTGTAGCAAGCCATTGGTTAGAAGTCATTGATTTCTTTAAAAACCAAAAAAGAAAACGAATTACCCACAGGACAACTTACCTGACCACACGCAGTGTGCTGGGATGAGTTTCAATGCAGCGTATTTATTGCTTGTCATGTAAATTAAAGACCTTGTATTTAACACTTTTCAATCCTTTTAGATAAAATTGTTCTTGGCAAGAATGATTGGTGCTTATTTTTTCAAAAATTTGCTGTGAACAATGTGACAACAAGCAACATTGACCTAATGAACTACAGCTGTCTTGATTTGGTTCTTTGAGTTTTCTGTTGCACTTGTAAAATGCTACAAGGAATATTAAAAAAAAAATCTATTCACTTTAACTTATAATAGTTTATGAAATAAAACCATAAGTCACAGCTTTTGTTCTGTGGTAACCTATAAAAATGTTTGTCTGAAATTCAATGTAAAGAAGTGAAAACAATGTATATGTTGTAAATATTTGTGTGTTGTGAGAAATTTTTGTCATAAGAAATTAAAAGAACTTACCAGGAAGGTTTTTAAGTTTAGAAATATTCATGCCAATAAAATAGGAAATTATAAATATATATAGTTTTAAGCACTGCATCAGTGGGAGTTCCTGGCTTATGTTAGTTTATTATGAAAATATCAACTTTTTTTTACTGTCTTATCAGACAAAAAGAAGAGTCAGATTTGTGGGTTTTGGTTTTGTTTGTTTTTTTGAAGCACTTTGAGAAATTTTAAGTAACTTAATGAGCAAATTTTGGCTACTACTTGTGTTCAACACCCAGCTCTCGTATCTCTGGCTTTATTTTACAAATCCTTGGATAAAGAATTTGGGAACATGAATCTGTAGAGAAGGTTGGACACCAGTGGCTCTCCTGATCGCCTGGACATGCAGGCATGAACTCTAGGTGCACCGCCTTCATCAGAGACCTTGGCCGGTCACCCACAGGGGCCGTGGGCAGCACCCTGGGGTCCAGCGTTGGAGCTCACTGATGGCTGCTGGCCACCTGGGGAGGGGAACCTTCCTTGGAGCTGGCTGTGTTGGCAGGCTCCAAACAAAGTCTAAGATTCAGAAACATTTTTGCAAGATTGTTCTGCCCCTGTGTGCCCGAAGGAGTGCCTTTGCAGCCTCCCTGGCGGTCAAGGTGCAAGATTCCTCAGGTATTCACTCCGGGTCGCGCGGTAGAGGCAGCCCCCCACACTCAGGCACCCCTTGCCCTGGCCTGGAGGTCACCCCATGAGGGAGGGCAGCCCTGGAGCACTTTACAGGCCGGGCTTTCTGCCTAGAAGTGAGCCCACACCAAGCCGGAGGGCAGCGGGCTGTCCCTCTCCCACGGTGGCCATGGCCACAGCCGCAGGCTCAGAGACTTAACCCTGCAACTGCTGGGAGAGCAACAAAAGCCGTTTCAGGAATTGTTGAGTCTTGAGGAAAAAAAACAACCCATTTCCCAATTTTCTCCATTTCTAATATCCGTAACTTATTCATGACGTTTGTTGTAGTGTTTCCGTGGCCTCCGTCTTGCAAGGCTGACCTTCCCGTGGTTGCAGAGCAGTGGCCTTGGGGTCGAAAGCGCCGTCTCCGGCCGCGGTGGACACCCTCTAGGGAAACCTCATTTCCGTTCTTAGTGGCGGGGGCCTCGCACCTGCCCGCCATCTGCTGTGTGACTTCCCCACGCGGACTGTGAAATCCACACTGTTGAGCAGTTTGGAAGAGGTTGGGTTCAATAAAACTTTCTGAGCTTGAGCTTATGCAATGATCAGTGAAGATTTTGACGTTGTAAAGAGTTAGACATGATCATAGAAATAATCTGTAAAGTATTCAACTTTCAATCATTTTTCAAATTACTGTTTTAAATTGTTTTTGCTGAGTTGTAATACTTTTGAGATACAATGTATTCCTTGTACTGAAAGAATGAAAAAGGACTTTTTGAGCATTTGAGGTAAGTTCTTTAACGTTTCATTAAAAACATTTTTTACAACTATTTTGTACATGCACCTGCAGTATTGAGGTTAATCATTTTAATAAATTCGGAAATTAAATTGGTGTGGCCGGTGTACACTGTGTGAGAGTTAAGGGGCACAGCAGGCCTTCCCCGCGAGTTCTCCAAACTTCACAGGCATCACCTGATGCCGCCCATCTTGCCAGGAGAGGGCAAGCAAACCCTCCCCTCTGGGACCTCAGGCGGAAGCCTGGCACCAGGAGCTCCAGCGTGGCAGCAGAAGGTTAGGGAATAGAGCAGTCGGGAGTGGAGCCTGTGCTCGGACCTGGCTACCAGCCTCACAAGCCACTGCTTGGCCTGCTCTGCTGCGGTACCAGACCCCAAAAGAGGGTATGAGTCCAGAAGGAGCATCAGGCTTGGCGGGCAGGCATTTGAATGGCCGGGCTAGAGGCAGCGGCCTCACCCCTTCCTTGTCTTGTCCTTTGCTTCTATCCATCACTAGGTTTACGGGCCCCCTGTAAAGGAAGACAGCTCAGGTGTGAGAAGCAGGCCTGACTGCATCCTGTGTCTGCCTGTCAGATTCCTGAGTTTCCTTGGGTGGAGGGTAGAATTTTTCTTTGGGCAGAACCCATCCTGCTGGGACTGTTGCATTAAGGGCAAGCAGAACTCAACTGACTATACCCAGACACCCCAGCTGTGGTCCCTGAACAGGCAGGTCTGCACCACAGCTGTAATATGGTTTCCCCATTTGCTGTTAGGGTTCACCCCGCAAATGAGTGCAGCAGTCAGGCCTGGGCAAAGCCTGGAGCTCCAGCCTGTTCTCCCACATGTGAGCAAGAACCCAAGGAGGAAAGCCGTTACTTCCCCCATTCCTTCACCCCCACAGAATGCTGCGAGTAGCAGGGAGCTGGGTCGGAAGCAGAGGAAGGGAGGGACTCTGCCCCAGGGACTGAGACGGCGAACAGGTGAGCATCCTGAGTCGGTGCAATGAGGTCTGTCCAACCACCTAAGGGGCTGAGGCGGTGTGCTTGAGATCACCTGGCTATGGCAGGTGCCAGAGCCAGCCACCGAGCGCATAGTCCAACTCCACCAGAGCAATTCTGCAAGTCTTGTTCCCTAAGCATCTCCCCAGGACGACCACAGGTATCACCGGCTCTTAGGCAGTTCCTAGGGCCTGGGAGAAGTTTGCTTAAGGCTCACAGTGCAGATAAGTGGGTTTGCCCACACCCGCTGGTCAAATACAGGGCGCCAGGCAAGTGAAGAGGAAACTGCGTGTTGGTACAGCCTGAGACGGCACGGCCTCCGTCTGGCCTCTGGGTGCACAGCGACAGCTGGAGAGGCCAGGCTTCCCTGCTGCCTGGCACGAGCACCCAGCCTCATTGCCCATGGTAGCTTGACACCATGTAAGTGAAGGACAGGCAATTAGCCCTGCCAGGGAGAAGTGTGGTTGTCCTAAAGAGCACAGCTGTGTGGCCAGCTGGTGGAGAGCAGGAAGACATCTGCGAGTCTGCAGCACTGCATCCCATATGTGTGTTCAAGCCCCAGCTGCTCCAGTTCCAATCCAGCTCCATGCTTACTGATCTGGGGAAGCAGCCTAGCCCAGTCCTGGAGGGTGATTTCTGCAAGGGGTGTTGAGCCAGTCTGGGAGGTTTGGAAGGAGGGTGGTGGGCGGAGCCCAGCCTGGGGTCCTGGTGAGACTGTGTGATGGGTGTACCCACTTTACAGGCAATTGTTTTGTTCTGGCATCCCCAGGCCTGGTCAATCGCCATCACCTCCTAACATGGCAGGCTCTCCCCTCCAAACCTGTGGAAGATGCTGCTTGTGTGTACCAGCCTGCCTGCAGTGGAGACTCAACACTGGTGTTTAATTCCCTCCTGAACTCTTAGCTCCAAAGCCCAGAAGGCCATTCCTGTCTTCACCTGAGCAAACCAGCCCCAGCCCAGGCCTACCCCTCTGTTCCCTCTCTCCTTCCCTCCCTGGGAGGCAGAGCTGGCAGGGCTAGGATGCTTACTGCACACGCGGGGACAGGGACAATGACTTGCCAGGGAACCTCCAGCCAACAGAAGATGGTGGTGGACCAGCAGTCAGGCCAAGACTGGAGCTGCTAGGCAAGGTGGCTGGAGCCCACCCCCACAGTGCCCGCCCGCATAGGCAGTGCCAGGCAACAACTCATGGGGTCTGAGTCAGCAGGCGGCCCCACCAGCTGTGTGATAAAGGGTGTTGGTTTGGCTGAGATCATTCACCCTAGGTTAACGTTCAACTTTGTGCAGCCCACGCCAGCAGCTTCAGCAAGGGGCAGAGAGGCCAGTAACTCCACCCCCACCCGCCTCCCTCACCCCTTCCAGCTCAGACAGGACTCCAGGAGAGCACCGTACAGGATGCTGGCATTGCAGGCCTAGCCTAACCCACTGTGCCACCTTGCTGGGCCCTGGTGCTCCAGTTCCCATCCAGCTTCCTGTTAGTGCACCTGCAGATGATGTCACACATGGAGCCACCCACGTGGGAGACCTGGGAGGCGCTCCTGGCTCCTGGCTCCTGGCTTTAGCTTAGCCTAGCCCTGGCTACTGCGGCCATTTGGGAAAGGAATCAGCAGATGGAAGGAATTTTTGTTTGTCCTCCTCTCTCTGTGTAGCTCTGCCTTTCAAACACATACATAAATCTTCAAAAAGAAAAAACCCAAGAATGGGACCAGTGTGGTGATCCAGCAGGTTAAGGCAGCACCTGCAACACTAGCCTCTCCTGTGAACATTTGCTGGAATCCTGGCTGCTCCGCTTCTGATGGCCTGGGAAAGCGGTGAAGGGCGCCTGAAAGTGCTTGGGCCCCTGCACCCGCGTGGGAGACCTGGAAGAAGCTCCTAGCTCTTGGCTTCAGCTTGGCCAAGCACATTTGGGCAGTTAACCAATGAATGAAAAATCTGTCTCCCTTTCTCTGTTAAGCTTGCCTTCAGGGCCCGGCACGGTGGTGCAAATGGTTAAGGTCCTCACCTTGCACGCCCAGGATCCCATATGGGTGCCGGTTCTAATCCCGGCAGCCCCACTTCCCATCCAGCTCCCTGCCTGTGGCCCGGGAAAGCAGTGGAGGACGGCCCAAAGCTTTGGGACCCTGCACCCGCGTGGGAGACCCGGAGGAGGCTCCTGGCTTCGGACAGGCATACGGCCGTTGTGCTCACTGGGGAGTGAATCATCGGACGGAAGATCTTCCTCTCTGTCTCTCCTCTCTGTATATCTGCCTTTCCAATAAAAATATAATAAAAATAAATCTTTTTTTAAAAAAAAAAGCTTGCCTTCAAACAAAGAAATCTAGGCCTGACACAATGGCTCAGTCAGTGGTTAAATCCTTGCCTTGCACGTGCCAGGATCCCAGGTGGGTGCCAATTCATGTCCTGACTGCTCCATTTCCCACCTAGCTCCCTACTGGGAGGATAGCGGAAGATGGCCCAGATTCTTGGGACCCAGATTCTTGAATTCACATAGGAGACCCAAAGGAATCTCCTGGCTCCTGGCTCAGCTTGGCTCATTTCAGCTCCAGCTATGATGGCCTTTTGGGAAGTGAACCAGCTGATGGACCATCTCTCTCTCTCCCTTTGTCTCTCCTCTCTCTCTAACAGCGTCTCAAACAAATATAAATCATTAGACATAAATAAAGAAGAAAGTAAGAGAAGGTACAGCTGTGGGCTCTGTCAGTGAGCAAAGAAAAGCGGAGGGGACAAAGTGACCAATGCCCCACACCAGGCGGCACCACCCCGGGGCCACTCCGGAGGCGCCAGGGCACTGGGTCAGACAGTGGTAAGTAAGGCAAAGGGCGATTGGCCACGTGGCTTCCAAAGGCCTCGGAGTCAGCTGGGTTGAGGAGGGCCACATTCCCTCAACCTGACCTTGGACTCCAGCCTTTCATGACTGCAGAGGACAGGCCACTGTGCCTGTCCAGCTTCAGCTAGATACGGAGAGCAGAGGGCCCGGGGGCGGGTGCCCTGCCCTGAGCCTTGCCTCGCTTTCTGCCCAGCAGCCCTTGGCCTTGTGTCAAAGGGCATTGATGTTTTAAAAAGCAGAGGAGAACTTCTGGAGCAGGTGTTTCACGGACAGTAGCTGAGACCCCAGCATCCCATTTGGGAGCACCTGGGCTCACTCCCCAGGTCTAGTCCCAAACCCAGCTTTCTATCAACATGCAACCTGGTGGGGATTGGCTTCAGGGTGGAGGTGGGGGGTCCAGATTTGGTGCTGCCCAGTTCTGGCTGTTGTGGAAATCTAGGGATTGAATCAGTAGGTGAGAGTTCTTTGTCTCTTTCTCTGCTGGGGTCTGTGTGATGGGTGTGGAAGACAGGAAAGTGTGAAGAGTATTGCTCCATTGCAGGCAGGGCTGCAAGGAACTTCCCGCTGTTTGGCAGGGCCGGGCAGATGTCTCTGCGACCACCTGAATGCAGCTCCACTGAGATTTCTGTTTATATTCTTTTTTATTTTTTTTATTTTTCTTTTATTGGAAAGGCGGATATACAGAGAGGAGAGACAGAGAGGAAGATCTTCTGTCTGATGATTCAATCCCCAAGTGAGTGCAACGGCCGATGCTATGCCGATCCGAAGCCAGGAGCCTCCTCCGGGTCTCCCACGCGGGAGGTCTTCCACGCGGGTGCAGGGTCCTAAAGCTTTGGGCCGTCCTCAACTGGTTTCCCGGGCTACAGGCAGGAAGCTGGATGGGAAGCGGGGCCGCTGGGATTAGAACCGGCGCCCATATGGGATCCTGGGCATGCAAGGTGAGGACCTTAACCACTGTGCCACCGAGCTGGGCCCTCACTGAGATTTCTGTAATCTATTTAGGCATTGTCTGCCTCTGCGGAGTTAATGTTTAATATCAATGTGAGCTTGGAAGCTGATGTTGCTGATACCGTTTTTAGCCAAAAAGCCTTTCATTATTGCTGTCACAGCTACATCCATTGACAATATGCTGATCAAGGGTGCTCACTCCCCCTTTGGTCCTATGCTAATCAAGGGTGTTCTGCCCCCAGCTGTAGTGGGAATCCATTCTTTCCCTCCTCTTTGATCTTTAGGTCCTGCCTTCCTCCCTTAGCTGACTCGAGACTAAGCTGTAGAATGAGGATTGTGGTA